CCCTTATACCAGTTAACTAAGAAAGATTCAAAATGGGTTTAGACAAAAGATTGTCATGAGGCTTTTATAAAGAACTGTATTCACAAAATTTTTTAATGTATTATGATCCAAAATTGCCCTTAACATTGACAACTGATGCATCACCAGTGGGGTTATTTGTGGTACTTACTCACAAACTTCCTGATGCAAGGGGAAGGCCAACTGCATATGTTTCTAGAACACTCACCGAAACGGGGGAAAAATATTCTTAAACTGATAAAGAAACCTTATCAACCTGGGAAATTTTTAAAAAAATCTACTTAAATGGCGGGGAATTTATGTTGATTACAGATCATAAACCTCTTGTTGCAATTTTTGGCTCAAAGAAAGACATGCCAGTTTTGGCAGCAACAAGACTCCTGGTCTACGCCTTGGGTTTACAGTCATTTCAATTCGACATTATTTACTGCAAAACAAACGAGCATCACAATGCTGATTTTCTATAACAATTGCCGACAAACTCAGAGCAACTCTATTGAAGATGATGTAAATGTTTTACAGTTACAGCAAATTGAAACTCTTTCAGTCACTACCAGAGATTTGGCTAAAGAAACTGAAATTGATACAGAACTCAGTCCTCTTCTACGAATACTTCAAAGCGGTGATGAATAGGAAGGAAGATGGAGTACAGTCTTCAAGATGGCTGTATAATGTATGGCTAATTCGTTTGTATTCCAGAACGATGCTGTAAGAGTGTGTTAAGAGAGTTGCACCACAGACACTTAGGGACTGTAAAGATAAAAGCAACTGCTATGTCTTACGTGTTTTGGAATCGTATAGATAAGGATATCGAAAATATCTCTAAAAACCGTTTTGAATATGCAAAACATAAATTAGATCTTCAGAAGGTAAAGGTTAATCAGTGGGAGTATCCGAGCGCGCCAATGGAGCACATTCACATCGATTATGTAGGACCTATTTTTGAGCATATGTTTTTGATAATCGTCGATGCTCATTCAGAATGTCTAGAAGCCAACCCAATGAAATTAAGCTCAACTTTTAAAAGTAAAGAATGCTTACGGGGCTTTTTTGCATGATTTGGATTACCAGTATTAGTAAGTGATAACGGGCCATAGTTCACTTTATATGAGTTTAAGATATCCCTGCAGAGTAACGGAACCACACCACCATTTAAGTTGTCTAGTAATGGGCAGGCTAAACAGTATGTGTTTAGAGTAAAACATTCTTTAAGGACCATGCAAAATTATCCGGGAACTCTGAGACAAAAAGTCAGTATATTTTTAATGCAATATAAAAACGTTCGTAACTTAACTACTCTGAAGAGCCCTGCAATATTAATAATGAATAGGGAAATTCAAAAAGAATTGACTTATTGAGACCAGATCTCAAAGGAAGGATGGAAGACAGAGTTCGGAAAAGAATCTGATCGAGGATTTAGTGTTAGCAATAAAGTGGAATTAGTTAGCAATAAAAAGTAAGAAATTATCGCCAGTTTGACAAACAATGGAGATTTGGTAGCATCCAATCCAAGGATGGACAATTACACTATACTATAAATGTAGACGGTCAGCTCTGGTCACGACATGTCAACCAGATGGGTGATTGGAGGATCCGTAAATAACGTTCCCACCTCTCCCGGTCCTGAAAATTAAAATCTCCCGGCTTCCGGAAAGAATTTAAAATAAATATTACTCTCCTGGAATATCAAGTTTCTCGAAAATAACGGCACAATGTGTATGGACGAAATGGTTGAGAACATCGAAAATCGCACGACCGCGCACAGCAGCCAAAGAACGTCTATGTCAATACATATTCTTTGCAGCAGCGATCTACGGTGAGCGGTGAGTAAGCGCCTTACTGGATGAGTCGTGGTTTCATGCCGGCGTTGGTGCGCGCACGCGCCCTTATCTCCCCTCACCCTCTCATTTTCAATCCATTCTTTCATTTAATCTGCAGTTAGCTAGCTACCAACAAACAAGTGCGTATTTTGAAATTATTTAAATGCTTTCATAATAATGTGTAGTGAAAAAAACGATTTTGATTCTGCAAGTGTAAAAGTACCAAAAAAAAAAAAATTCGACGTCGTTTTAAGACAGATGGTTAACTCAATTTGACTAGCTTATGAAGAGAGACAACGGAGAATGTAAAATATGTCGGAAAACGGTTAATACGAGGATCTTAGAGCTTTAACTGTACATTTTCAAAGCAAGAAACACCAGTCGTTAATATTCAATAGGGATTCTTCGCAATCGGTTTCGAACTTTTTCATGAAGAAATCTTCAGAAAAACAGGGCAATATATCAGCAATTGAAATTATTTCAGTCTATCATAGGATTAACACTTTTTATAGCCAGCATTGCACAAATTGTGTAGATTCTTCTATTTCCAGATTCCTCTTTGCCAAAAGCGATTTCTTGTGGTAGAACAAAATGTACAAGTATTTGCGAGAGTGTGCTTGCTCCTGCAGCTCAAAAAATACTATTAAACGAGATTAATGAGGCGGAGTTTTATTCAGTTCCGACTAAAAACTTTTTTTCTTCTCCCGGAACTTTTTTTCTTCTCCCGGAATTTTTTTTTCCCTCTTCCGGGTTTTGACAGTCAAGAGGTGGTAACGCTATCTGTAAATGATGACGGCTGCATACGTCCAGCTCTCGCGATTTCCAAAGAAGCTGATAAGAGTAGAGTTCCAGAACCATCCAAAGAAAATAGCCAGCAGGTAGATGGGTCTGTGTCGTCTTCTGAGCCCAAAGTTTTACCGGATGTTTCATCCACCGGACCTACTGCTGATAAACCAGGTTACCAAAGAAACCAGCTATGCCACAACCTTCGTGTCGCTCCACCAGAATTCGATGACCTCCAAACTGACTGAACTTGTAATAAAGGGAGAGGGATGTAGTGTATCGAGTAATCGTAATCGAACTTAGAACTGGCGCTGCCAAGGATCGCCAAGCGCACGAAGCGATCGTAAACTAAAAGAGGAGAGTTGGAATGCCAGTTGCTGGAATTGAGTGCGAGTTAGGATGTGTTTTGTATATAAATAAAGGTTGTTGTAAAGTAAGTACAATGTCTTTTGCAATGAATATACCATAAATGTATTACAGTCGGAGGGCTAATTCAGAAATGAAAATTTATTAGGACCTTAACAGAAAATTACCAATTCTGACATCTGTAAAGAAGTCAGCTATTACAAGAGCCTTAGTTAGTCAGATATTACAAGTGCCTGTACGTGAACACTTCTGTTATTCTTATGTGTTAATTATTATGAAAATAAATCTGGCTTAAATGCTTACAATGCATCTGTTGGATTTAGAAATAAATTATACTGCATGAAGATGGTTTTAAAAATTCTGAAATAAATTATTCTGGGAATCTGTGATGATGCTGATTTGACAAGTGCTATCAAAGAGTGTTCTTTGTTAACATGTCTGGAACTTATCCAAAAGTTCAGAATAATTGCTGAAACTGTCCATTGCAATTTCAGTAATGGTGAAAGAAGGACAATTAAACAGATGAGTACTGCATAAAATAATGGAGAGTAACAAACTTTTTGATGATGTGTGATGAAATGTGGGTCTAATGTTACGTAAACAGTGAAGTCATACCATTGGCTGTTGCTCGCATATAGCTTTCTTTTTATTTTTGTGCCACTTAATCTTAGAAAGAATGTATTGCGTATGGGGTCGACTTCAGAATTTTTCCAATGAAGTCCGATTTTGGAGGCACATATTACATTCTAATTGTATTACCCTCTTCACAGTGCATTATTTCTTAGATAATATCTGTCCATGAGCTTTTACATCCATATGCATTGTGGGTATATCTGAAGTTTGAATAGGGCAACCAATATATGTAGGTTTTTTACTCACATTTCGAGGGGGGAAAAAAGATTACGTCCTAAATTTTTCTCAAACCTTAAAAATTCAACAATTATATCTGAATGATTGAAGTGGAAAGCAGTCTTTAGAGTGATCCAATGTTTATGTATCATGGCATAAGTTAGTAGAAATATTGGTAATATTGGTAAATAATTTATGGTAGCTTATTTATGACCAGAATTATTGACAGTTAATTTCCGTGTTTTAATTATTTTAAAATTTACCTGGCTCTCATTCTGAAACAGTGCAGAGCTCAGAGTATTTAGAGACAGATCTGATATCATTACGTTGGTCCTTGTGTTTATTGTGTAGGGAAGAGTAAATTATAATTTTTTTATGCAAGAGCTTGGAAAAGGCGATAGCATTATTTGTAAATGATGATTTGTTTTCTTGATCAGCAGTTTCTCTACACATTAGTCTTTCTAGTCTCACTTATTTTACTCTTTCAAAGATGTGTGTAAGAGTTCAAAAATAAATAAATATAAATACATAAGTAAAGGCTGCTTTATTTTTCATGCTTTATTCTGTATGTCAATGAAAAGCTTTTTACTTGATTTTTACTCTTAAAGACCATTACGTGTCCTTCTGCTGAAACCACTAAATATTTTTAAATAAGGAGGGGGTAGAAACCGGAAGAAAATATTTGTTTAAAGAAAGTATGTTCATATGCATCTTACAGTACAACTATAATATTTAAGTTTTATTAAGAGTTAAAGATTATGTCAGTGTTTTTCTTTATGCCTCATTTCATCATGTACTCGCTCACTCCAAAAGTAATGCGGAAGCGTGCCAATCTGGTAGAGATGGGCAAAACCACTCCTTTAAGGGATCAGATCGTCGCTCACTGAAGTGATTCAGTTCTTTTTTACGATTAACCACTTATTCACAATGATCTTGATGAATACGCTTGGAACGGAGTGGATCAAAAGCGGTGTGAAAAGATAGGAGGAAGAGTAGAAAGAATCGAAAAGGGAGAGGGTTCGGTAGAATCAACTCAATCAAACCACTCACTTCTTGGACTGATTTCTTTCAACAGTAGTTTTGAGGTTCCTTAAAAACACCTTTCTGCATAGAATTAGCAATAAAATTCTGGAATAAAAAAAATGAAAACTAAACTCATTTTTGTTAACGGTTGCATTATTTTATTACTATAATTGGGGTTTTATTACTACGACAAAACGCAATGTTAAAATACCTAACACTAGAATTACCAACACTACAAAGAATGCAATAAAAAATTACTTAACATAAAAAATTTAATAAAATATACCAGTTTACCATCAAAATACTGATCAAGATTTTGATTTATGAACATAGTATTAGTTAACTTTCCCGACGGAAGGCAATTTCTTTTCTCAGTGCATATCTGGCCTGTCTTCGAAAAGATCCGTTCGCAGGGCACTGAAATAGTCGCGATGCATAATCGTGTTAGAACAAATTCATACAACATGGGATACATTAACTTTCGGGACTCCCACCGCAATAAGGGGTCATTGCTTCTAAGTAAATAATCGTCCGATAAATATTTATTAAATTCCACTATTGCAGCAGATCCCGAGTCCTATGCTCCTTGAAGTTCATAGTTTCATCGAACTTCTCCCGTATGGAAGAGCTCTCATTAGATGTTACAGCTGGAATTAACTACTGTATTTGGAGCATCTGATAATGTACACCTAAAGTTTCCATTATTATTACAACATTATCGTAGCATTTTCGCTATTTTAGATCATCAACGAACCCTGTTTTTTAAAGCGGAGAATCCAGGAAAGTTGCCTGCCTCACCAACTCGTTATTAGAGATAAGTCTTAACCGTTCTAACATCCCTTTCAGTATATCATCACTTAACAACTCTATAACTTTTAAGAACCCCAAGCCTTTGTTTCTGTTCTTGTAAACTTTCATCTGACTTGCTATTAATCTTGCTAAAATTCCTATTTTTAAATGACATATAGTTAGTTCTGATGACACTATATGTTCTTACGTTACCTCGTCGAAAACTTTTAAAACTTCTGTTGCTTGTCGTATAATATTTCAGTCTTGATTTGACAAATTAAATGATTTTTCGCCTAACAATATAGCAAGAGAAGAAATTATAGGTTTTTAGTTTTAAAACAATCCAAATGATGGAAACGTTTCTTCTATGAAAGAAATTTTCTAGAAGTACAGAAGTTATTCCTGAACATCAATTTAATAACTGGGATTGTTCCAGGTATAGAAATTTTTTTCAGAAATCTTAAAACTGTTAGTCATACATTACTTAACTTTATGAAAAGTATTGGCATCAGCAATGTACTTTTAATTTCTTTTTCGGTTTTTCATTTATTTATCCGATCAGTCATGTTTCTTATATTTTGAGTGTTTAAAAATATTAATAAATGTTTAGATGCTTTTATGTCTAAGTTTCTTAACAGTAGTCGAGTATGAAAACGTGTTCAAGGTAAAAACAATAGTTAGAGGACAGCTCCTCTAATGGCTCATAGTTGCATAATCTGTGACTCAAATATTTCTCATTATGATGGAATAAATAATAAATATTGAAATTTTATTTATCTAAATTTCAATTAAATACAGAAGTTTATTTTAATAATGACTTCAGTATTGCAGTATCAATAATTATTCAGTATAAATTTGTAAATTGTTAAACATACCTACAAGAAAACAAAAGTTATATTCATAATAAGGATAATTTTTAATATTTTGTCTAATTCTGCAAAAAACCCTACAAAGCAGATATATGTACAGCAATCTTTTCTTTTAGCTGCCTGTGTTAATAACTAGAGATGATAATCAAAATAAAGGGTATTTTTCATGTTTCTGTAATTCGTGGCATTACCCAACCGCCGAAAGCTTTCTCTAACTCAACAGCAAAAGCAATAGTCAGTGGATCATTGTTTCTGCAACTTATAATCTGAATTCCAATTGGTAGGCCTTGCTTATTAAGTCCTAAAGGACACTGCGTAGATGGAAGACCCAGGGTATTGAAAATATTGCAATAGCATGAGCTTGGTATATATAATAAAGCTTCATTGTTATAAGGTGCTGTTGTAGGAAAAGTAGGGAAAAGAAATACAGATTTTTCATCTAGGAACGTGTCAAATTCTTTATCTAGTAGCTTGGCTAGGTTTTCGCAATATGCTACATTTGTTTTGCTGTAAAATAATGGACTCTTACCAAAGTTCATCGTTAAAACAGCTGGCATTGTCAAATCGGACATTCCGATGAACCACTTGAAGAGTTCTGTGACTCTGTTGACGTTCTTTTTGCCAGATGTGAGAGTATGTGTAATATTCCCTGCAGCAGATAACAGGACGTGAAATGCTATTAAGTTGCTCTGCTTGAGTAAAGAGATATTTTTTTCTTTGGCGATCACTCCGTAAGTATTTTGGAAATAAGAGATGACCTGGAAAAAAAAAAAAAAAAACAAAAACAAAAAAAAAAACATAATTTTAATAGTTATCTGAATGGCTTGCATAACATTTTATGAAATTTGAAATGCATTTGGTTAGTCTAGAACTTGTTTAACCTCCAGAATATAACTTCGGGAAGATAAAACAAGTATAATTTTCTTACGCCTTAGATCAATGACTTTCAAGCATTTTTTGTCTCATGCACCCCTTTGACCATTGCTAAACGTTCGTTCCCTCCCTTCCTTCCCAAAGCTCGAAAAGTACATATACATGAATTCAAATTATTTTTAATGTGTTTCATAAATGAAATAAGAAGTACAGAAAATGGTGATAAACACTAAAACATGAGTAAAAATAATTTTTTTTATATAATCATAAACGAAAACAGGTAAATAAAAGCCTGATCGCATTTTCCCTCTGAAAGTATGAAATTTTCCCCTGGTTGAGAACCCCTGCGCTTAGATGATGATGTTAGCGAATGTATGCTTTGAAAATCATTTTCAACCTGATGAATGATGGTATCGTTCCTTTGTAACAGATGTTTTGGTAACGCATTTTAGCTGTTATTACTGGCACTATGTGAGAACTAAAAGATTATGATGTGAATCTCCACGTATTATTAATTTTATCTTATGCGGAGGGAACATACACTGGCTGCCAAAATTTAAGCATCCAGTGCCGTAGCTGCCAACTGTCTCGGTTTTTCGACCCATCACCCGGTCTCCTGGTAGATAATCAAATCTTCCATTTTATAATTTTTAGCCTTAACTAAAGAAAGTGTTTTTCAGCAACACAACTGAATTGCGAAACGAAATTTTCGCTGTTTAAATTTCATCACTGAAGTGCTTAAATTTGCAAATTTCATTTCCTCAACCGTAGTGATCTTCAAGATAATTTTTCTTAATCAATTTTTTTAGTCCGAATATACTGTAGATATTTATAGAACTTTATATGAAGATTGAACCAAATGTTTCATCAGTAATTTTGTTTTAATCAATATGTAGAGTCATTAGGTCCATTTCAGAACAGGAAACATGGAAAATACGTAATGCCTTCACGGGAATTCGAACTCGGAACTTTCCGATTGTTAGCCGGACACGCTTCTAATTACACCACGAAGGCACAGAGGGCTTTGGACCTAATCGCCAGATCCTGGTAGTGAGAAATTATTGTCCACCACATTCCAGCTTGTGTCACCTGTAGTGCCTACTCTGGAATTCGAACTCTGGATTTCTTGATTGTAATCGAGATGTGCTGCTAATTATATCACGAAGGCATGCGGTAAGAAGAAAGAAAGTCTTTTATAAATATGTGGTATATTACTGAGTTTATCCACACAACAATACTCACTTTAATCACTTTTATTTTTACCGTCTTTAAAAGTACTGTGATAAACTGAAGCTTTCCTTCTTTTCTCGGAATTTTCTCATATAAAAGAATAGGAGGCAGTAGGTCTGTCTGTGGCCTGTTCGTGCTTTAAGTAATAAAATTACAAAATGAAATTAGTTAAGAACATAATAGTTAGAATATGTGATTAATATATTTTACGCCAGAGTTGTAATATAAATATTTGAATAATCTAATCATGTATTACAAAGCGAATTTAAATCAATTTTGAATTCTTTTAGAATGGTGCCGTCGCAAAGCACGAAAACTTCCCATATATTCCCGGGTTTTTTTTTGGCAGCTATGTAGCACAAATTAGCAATTTTCGAAAGCATAGCTGAATCTGAGTAGTTAAAAATTGCTGCAGATGCAAATGTCAGTATGCAAATATGGATGTTTACAGCCATTCACGATTGACAGTTCAAACGCATGCTAATTAGGCATTTGTTGCAGACACATTCTGAAGGGTGAGTTGTCCATTTAACTTTCGTAGGACAATTTTTGATGATATTTATGTTTCTGTGACTGAAAGAAGAAAAGCAAATAATGAACGCTGACTTGCTGTCGGATGTGTTGAAATAGGACAGTCAATTAAATTTTTTTATTTTTTGCCCTTGATCATTCGGCAATTACTGGAATGTGAAAACAATTACGGACTAGGCAGACAGTTGCCTGGCGGCAGTTGCTATAAAAGGCTCAAGAAATGCTCTTTTTATTTGCTCGGGTGAGGGAATATTTCATCTGGTAGAAAGAATGGGTGCACTCCAACTGCGCGAATGAAAATCCCCCCGTCCTACCTAATCGCCAACAACGCGACCAATCGTCCAACTACGCGAATCAAAATTTCTTCCCCCCTGTTGTCTACACGGTTGCAATTTAACTTTTCGAAGCCAATTGTAGCCAATTGTAACTTTTCGAAGCCAATTGTAAAAGAGGAAAAAAATAAAGAAATAGAATTGCATATCACAAGAACAAGTAAAAATATCTAAAAAAGCAGGTTAAATTACTTCAATAACAGTAATAAATGTTAGAGCTTGCAAAGAAAATAAAAGGTATTGGTAAACACATACATATTAGCATTACAAACATCTTTCATTTATTATAATAATATCACAAATTAAATAATTATAAAGCATACCAATTATATTTTTTAGAAATTACATCAATAATAGTCAAGATGTCTGAACTAGACTGGAAAATTTAATAGAGTTCGCTGGCGTGCAAAAGATTATTCCATATGAAAGTGTGTTAAAGTTTGCTAAAAAATATTTTTGTTAATTGAAGTAATCATTAAATGTTTTTCAGAAATTAATAGTTAAATTAAAAAAAAGCTAGTATTAAATCTATTATAATACATTACTATGCGTTTGGAACACTGACATATAAATTGTAAATAAATTTAAATTATTCTGTTAGAGGTTTTTTCTAAAATTCATCTCGAAGAAAAGAATTAGATAAAAAGTACTGCAAATTAATATAATCAATCAGCCTCTCAATAAATAAAAGTTTATTTTTTAACCAAAAATTAAAAATTGGAATGCAAAAGTTTGTGTAATATACTTGGAAATATCTGAACATATAATTAGTTAGAAAAATACAATAAATTAAAATACAATTAAATTAATAACAATCTAATTAACAGTAACATTAAGCTTAATTTAACTTCAATCTAAAACAAGCAATCGATCAGGAGCTCCGCGCATAACTGAAGTTTTATTGCTATTTTATGTAGATTTTGCGTATAAAATAACTAGTTGCACTTGTGTAACAAGTGAATAATGTACTGATAGTCAGCAGGAATTAAAATACAGTGGTTAAAAATATAACTACTTGTCAGAAGGTATGCAAAGTTGCTATGGCTAGAGACATTGAATGATTATAGGAAACTCATAAAGTTAAGCGCTACAGTGTGAAAAGAAAATTCTGGAATAAACATGTTAAGAAAATTAAATGGAGAAATAATCCTTAATTTATTGATATCCATATAAACTATATGTTTTTGGAAAAAGTTACATATAATTTGCACCGAGGAATCAATCACCGAAAACGAGTTAATTTCTTTCCTTATTTTTTCTTATTAGAGGGATTTGTAAAAAGGTATGCCAAGGTGTAAATTTTTGCAATATTTTAAAGAATAAATTAAAAATGTATTTTTACTTCATGAACTGAAATTTTTACGCTACATTTTTATACAGTAAATAAGAAAAAAAAAAAAAAAAAAAAAAAAAAAAAGAAAGAAAGAAATAGCTGGGGAATCACTGGGACTAGAAACTTGGGTTGAACTACCAATGTTTAGTGACTTTTCCGCTTGATTATAAGACCTTTTGAAATTAGGCTGAACAATATATTAAGGAAAATAGAAGATGCAGCACAAATAAGAACAAAAATGGGCTGAATTAGAGATTTACATGTTTGGTGAATGAGTTAAACTTATCTGTATGCCATTATGAAATATTAGTTTCTAGCATGAAGGCAATGGCAATCTAAATCATTGTAATCTAAATGTATAACATTATCAGTATCTGCTATTAATTTCAATACCGCTGAAAAAATTACAAATGAATTCTATTATAAATCACACGAACTTGTTGCATTATAAATTACAACAGTTAGAAATATTATTAGCGTGATATAGCGCCCATCTTTGTTAAAAAATAATTTCAAATAATTAATTTTACAAATCATTCAGCCTGAAACTAGATTAGAAAAAAAAAATGCATTCTGAAGTTTAAGCTTTACAAAGGTGTTAAAAACATCTTCTGTTAACTGGAGTTGTGATGCAAGAATTTGTAAAAATTATCATTTAAATATAAATTGGCATAAATACAATGAAAAATATATAAATTATACATACATGAAAACTTGAATACAGTGCAACAATATGTGAAAAAGGAATGGATTAAAAGGGAACTGAAAATCCCAAGATATTAATATATACCAGTTCAAACTTTTTAATTAATTATGAAAATTCTACAGATGCTCATAATTATCATTTTATTACTTAAATGTGTATTAGAAATTAAATGTATGCCAAAGTACATCAGGTAGAATAACTGGAGAACAGAATAAATATTTAAACGTTTCTAATATTAAAATATGCAATTTGTAAGGATATGGAGTTTGTAGAAAATATGGAATTTGAAATAGCTTAATACGGCATGCATTGCAATAATATTAGTGTGAATTTAGAACCACTTAAGTACAAATCCGATATTTGATAGATTGATTATGTATCTGTTTTATGTATGTCATTAATCTATCAATTTTATTATTCAAGTTTTATTATATATATATATATATATCAGCAGCTAAAATCTACAACTTGGAAAGTTTTAAATTCTTATAGAGAATAAAAAAGATCTGGCTCATTATTCTTTTAAGCATAATAAAACTTTAAAATGAGTGTAAAAGAAATTCATTTTTACTTTAGCACACGCCAGATTTTAAATTAGTATTTGTTTTGTATGCACAATTTTTACAATATTGATAAACGAAAATAGAGGCTTGCAGTCTCAATAAAATGTCTCATTAATGGCGATAAATGACTTTTTGTAGCATCAATCTTCTTGGGAATTCAAGTTCTTAGAAAGAGGGGACAGGAAAACGTCGCGCAGTTCGTGTATTAGATAAGAGAGGGGGGAGGGATCTTCGATCAAATTTCGCACAGTTCGTACCCTACCGAAAGAATTGCTTTTTACTGATATGCTAATGTGTTGAAAACTACCTCGTTAGAACAAAGAGATTCTCTTTAATTGCTTATTCGCAAAAGAGAATTTTTTTTTTTTTTTTTTTTTTTTTCCGTCAGAGATATATTTCCGTAGGTCATCTAAATAGATATGTGCTCATATATAGAAACCAAAATTAATTCCATTTAAATCTTAATGAAAATGTTCTTACCATTTTAATAGCTTCTTGAAAGTCCTTCTGAACAGGGGCGGCGAAGGGTACATCCATAGAAAGCATGTAGAATATTTTTACATCCGAAAAATTCACCTGAAATTCATTTTTCAAGATTTACTTTCTATTCTTCAAATTTCACTCAACATTATAAGAAACAAAGCACTAACGATGGCCGGCGGATTTAACATTATAAGACTCAAAATGCTAACAAGGCTAGCGGAAGCGGGCTTGCAAGGCCTGCACATCAAGCGTGCGCCGCCTAGAAAAGGGGGATCGACAGGCATTTTTCTGACAGTAATCAACCACATGAATTTTTATTAAGAATTATGCGTTAAAAATAATTAAAAATATGTTATGCTAAATATAGAATATAGAATAGCTTTAGGGTAGAATTAAGTAATAAAACTTAAGTATATTTAGGGCTTAGAGCCAGAGTCGTTGAGAGGGCACCGGGCAGAAAAGACCTATATTATATCTATCTATTTTCATACAGACCTGCGGCTGTATGAAAGGCCGAGGAAAAGAGTAGAGCTGGCCTTTCGCATATTTCTCAATTTCAGTTTGAATTTAATATCAAAGCTTTGGCATTAAGTTCAAGAGTTGTTCAAGAGTTGTTCATCTGTGTAGTTTTAAGTCAGTGATCTCAAACTGGTGAGCCGCACACGGCCACTGAAGCAATTTTATGCGTCCCGCAAAGACATTTCAATTCCGAATTTGTTGCAAATACACTGCAACAAGGACTTCAAAATTTTAATAATTTGAAGTCCGAGTTTACGTTATTTTCATTACCATTAAAAAGGAACATGAATCTAAATGATTCACAGAGTGATATAACTATGCAAATATTTGAAGATGTATTTTATTAACTTTTATTTATATCAGCCAAGAAATAAATTAGTTCAATTACGAAATTGTGCACTAAGAATAATCGCTTTGTTCGGGGAGATGTTTATAAGTTAGCTTCCTTTTTCACAGTTGAAATTTAATAAGAAAAAACCCCTATTGACAGATGCGCATTTATAAATCCGTGATGAAGATAATTTTTAGTATTTTCTCTTCAAGGCTACAAATGTAATCTGAATCGAAACTTTATCAGAATCAATTGTAAAGCTGTAGTAAGAAATAAAAGAAGTTAATTAATTATTTACACACAAACATATATATTTTTATTTATGCTTAAAAAATTTAATAAATAAGAGAAAGATACCAAGTAGTCATTATTTGTTCTCCAGTTTTGGTCCCACATGGAAAACCTTCTTTGAAAAGTTGGAAGTTTTCATAATTTCTTTCAGTTTAAATTAAAGTATGTTATTAAATTTATTTTAAATGCATATCAGTCAGAAAATTTGATATTTAATTTCCAATATATTTGTTGGTCGAGGTTTTGCTTAATTCCTGACGTGGAGTGAGTAATTAATTACTATTATGAGTGTTCATAATATGTAGTTAATTACTTACCCCAAGTTTCAAAGCTATTTATTTATGAATATTAAGAGGGCCCACCAGCGGCCGAGCGGTAAAGTCGCTGAACACTGGTAGTTCGGTCCGAGGTTCGAATCCCGCGAACGGGCTGGCTGCATGGGTGTTTTCGTGGTTTCCCCATGTGTAACGTGTATACGAGCCAGTTTCCCTTAGAAAGTCCTCCACGAAAGGCATCCCTCCCCTTTGGCAGATAGCCCTAGTGTGCTTTGCCGTAATTAAATACACCACACCACACACACCTTATGAATATTAAGATATATGATTAAATTTCTAGCAGAAACCATTGAAAAATGGGACAGTCACTCAGTTACACCTGTAAATGCCAGACTATTCGAAAAATCGAACTATCGAGTTGAAAAGCCCCCAAGGTGACAATACTGTTCATACTATTGAAGTAAACAACTTCAGCTATAAATCAATCATTATAAAAATCCATTCTAACCTTAATTTAAAATTGAAAACCACGTTATATAAAATTTACTACTATCCGAATACATTAAAGTTGATAGTGTTAAGTCGTTATGAACAAAACTGCTGGTACTGATGCAAGAACTGTAACAGAAGCAGAGCTGGATTATCCATTAAGCAAAAAAGCACATGCTTAGGCCATCAAAGAAAAAGGAGAACACAAAAAGGTACTTAGGGACTCAGGAAAGGGAACACCAAGCACATGCTTAGGCCATCAAGGAAGAAATGCGTCAGAAAAAGGTACTTGGAGACTCAGAAAAGGGCACACCAAGCACATGCTTAGGCCATTAAGGAAAAGGGGCACCGCAAAAAGGTACTTAGGGACTCAGGAAAGAGAACACCCCAAATTTTCTCATTACCAATTTTACCATGAAATGTATGTTGCAACTAAACCAGGACCGAGTGAGAAAAAAACGGAAAGAAAATATCATAATTACATGTTATGGGCACTAAAAGCTTTTAGGAGCTTAGAGCCCATGAAAGTCTTAAAGCAGAACCGAACAGAAGACTCACATTACTATAAATTTAAGGATTCTTCATCTTCGGATTTCTCAAGTTAAAACTGTTAAATCAAATAATATTATTTCAGTTCATTATAAAAGTATTTTTTACCTATATGTACCTGCGCTGGGTTGTATTATTTTCTCGAATTTTACAAAATTGTTCGGGGTGTTCTCCATCGGAATTCTATCGAAACTTAGCAGTTAGCATGGCCCGGCAATACATAAATATGCTTATATAGTGCCGACTTTGCTTCAGCCTGTAGTCATTGGTTTTGATCTTCTTTGATTAGATCCACAAATGAAATTTTTTCTAATTTTCATTCTATGGTTCTTTAGCTCGTAGTTTAGTAAATGATTAAATCCCAAACAAACCTCAGACCGTTATCCATACATATGTGTAAGGATTATGTTAATTTATCTAACAGTTAAATTTTGAATTAAAGTTACTATCTTATCTTTTCTTAATTTCAAGCCTACAGCTTCCGGCCAGAACGTATTTTTAGATTCGCGGTTGAATGCAAATGAGGAGAAATATTTAACTGTGAAGTTCTACTGACTTCGTGAGAGAGAACGAGTGATTCTGACTAGAGCGAATCCGCCTTTTTAAGCTACTCTCTCTTAAGCTATTATTACGCTCGGCCGTACTTAAGGCCTTTGATAGCTTCGCCGTTATTTAGCGTTAAGGGCAAACTCTGTTAGAATCTTGAAAGCTTCAGCCATATCTTTTTAGTTAAGATTAGTAAAGTTTAATTTCTTAGTTCCTGAGTTCAAGCCCGAGTAGAAGCTTTATTGTAAAACTCCAAGAAGGAGTCCTGTGAATTTAATTTGGAATGATAAAGGATATTTAACCCTTCCCAAGTTTCATTTTCTGTCTCACGAACTCAAGCGATTATTCGCTTACCAGTTCTTAAGATTCCAACTGATTAACTCCAACTGTAACTTAAAAGTACACAGGTGAGAATCTTACATATGTCAGTCTCGTATCTATTGAAATATGTGCAAATTTTTGCCTTTCTCTAAAGCGATAGGAAAATTTTCTTATATTTTTAACCACTCATTACATATTTTCTAATTTTGTAAACAAATCTTCTCTTCCTTCCCAAATACACTGGTGTGCAAATCTTCAGCAACACGTGTTCTTTTAGCCATAGCTCCACGAGATATCGTCTGAGAGACATGAAATGCAGAAGTGAGAGACAGCATTTTGTATTTAAACGATGACGAAAGCATAGTTGCGCAAAAATGAATGCGATGTATACTGTATGGAATCAAACAAGAAAGGCTTTATTGAACTCATAGTACACATGATTGTCTACAAGAGGAAGAACAACAACCAGATGTTGCTTAGTATGGGATATGACCTCCCCTTACTGCAATGGTTGCTTCGTACCGTCTCTCCATTCTTAGCACCAGATTGTCCAACAGGTTTTGAGGTAAGAATGCTCATTCCTCAATCAGCATCTGTTTCTGCTGTTGGGTGTTCCCCGTAGGATGTAATCGTGCCGCAAGGCGTATCCCCAAAGCATTCCACACATGTTGTATGGGATTTAAATAAGGGAAGTACGCTGGCTAAACCATTCAAGTGATAATTTCACTCCCCACTAGCTTCTGAATAGCAGGAGTCCGGTGTGGCCGTGCATTGTCATCCATAAAAATAACGTCTGCTCCAATGACACCTCAGAACAGACACACATGGTGAAAGATCGCCTCCTGACAATAGCGATCTCCGGTTACAGAACTTCTGTCGAAACCGTGGAGCTCTGTCCGTCCGTTCAGCATAATGCCTTAGGCGCTCAATCCCGGAACGAATTCTATTGTTTGGTGGAGGAAGAGTCCAAGATTTGTAGGTATGGTACGTGAAAGTAGAGATGAGCTAAGAGGAGAAAGGAAAAGGGATTTTTAGTATAGGGAATTTCAGTCGTTCCGGGATTGAGCGTCTACTATTGAACGGGCTCCTGCTTTGTGAGGGTAGCTAGCGTTTCGTTAGTAAGTGTATTATTTATTATTCTTATTGATTGTCTGCCCTTTTTTTTAAAGTTACAATTTTCTACAATACCTTAAGTAAATAAGAACTTTACAGTTACTTATTGTAACTTCATGTAATACTCTGTTACCTTAAGAACCTTAAGAAGAGTTCTAATAAATATTAAATTTCGTTGGAATAAACAAAATTATGTAATTTCGCCAAAACGTTATGCCTTTAAGCAAATTTTAAATAAGCATACAATTTTACATTGCAAACACGTATTTCTCTACGAAATATTTTTTTTGTTTCATAAATGATAAAAATTAATCTTCTTTAAACAAATTCAATAAACCTGGAGCATAAAAATATGAAACTCCTCCCACGGGGAATAACAACGAACATATCCCTTTTTCCCTCGTACCCACTGAAAGCCATTCCACGATCTTATTTCCGTTGGAAACCATTCGGTCCTTGATCCTTGAACGTGAAGGTGCGCATCATGAGCGCTCCGACGGAGATGGGCTCTACTGCCGAAGTTACTATACAGATGGACGTTAGCGTCCCGCCTGAGATACCTGCCACCACGGAGAGTTGTGTTGGACTTCCCCGGTAACCTCAATCGGATAGTAACGAAAACCTGGATTATTATACGGAAAAGCTAATGGATTTGGAAA